AATGGACCTCGAACGGGGGATCCCCTATCAGGCCGTCACTGTGTTTTAAACCGTTGGATTAGTTTTCCTTGTTTGCCTTGCGCACTTGTGCACTTGTGGTTACTGTTAAGATTTGGTAAGTGTTGTTGCTAGTTTTTGTTTGCTTTGATGGCTGATTTCTATGAGAGTGAGTTTGTGACTATATACACCGCGACGTTCATTTGGACGCTAGTGATTCTGATCAAAATATGATTATACAATTATTGGGTCGCGAAAGCATATACTTTTTTAAAACAATATACATTTTTACTCTTCCAGTAACGATTATGAAAACATTTTAAGAAAACGCATTGATTATTTCTTTCCTCTCAAAAATATCATATACTTTGCATGATATCATATCTACAACGATTTAAAGAAAGATAAATCTATTTCCTGGTAGTTGTATTAGGCACAAATAAGTTAAGTGGGACTTTCCACATCCTCGTCAATATCATCGTTCCACGGTTGGATAAAGATGTACATTAATTAGAAGAATATTATAAAGATGGTAGAAGTAAGATAGTAAAAAGTTATTTTGCACAGACTTTTTCCGGTCTATATGTACACCCTACAAGGGACTCCAAACTCTAGAAATTGGGGGACTTATGAAATTAATCAAGTCTTAAGCCTATGTCTTAATAGGGCCACGTTTTGATAAATCCGAGCATTCCCTTGGCTTTATTTACCATGCAACTAATATGGTCAGAAAACGTAAGTTTATGTTTTGGGTCAAGAAGGACGCAACCTGCATGATTTTAATCAACACACAACAACCTGTGGGCTCACCCGAAAAACTTTACTTTACACTGATAACAATTTAAATCCGATTGTAAATCTGAACTGCGGCAATTTTTGCTGCTATTATGAAGAGAAATAACAAACGACTCCTCGAATAAGTGGTAACTAAAAAGTTTTTCAAAATTATTATTAGAAATGAACTGGATAATAGAAAAGTGATTCGCAAATTGCGAAATGGTGATGGTGAAATATATGGCAAGTAATATTTATAGAACTACCGGAAAATGATAGGACGGACGGACGGACGGATAGAAGGACATGGTTATATCAACTCAATCAAATCTATGTATGTATTTTAAATGAAATGTCTCCTTAACTAACGAAAAATTCTTCTTAAAAACTAAAATAAATGCTGTAATATTTTGATAAAAATTATCATTTTGACCCCATGAAGGAAAATTTTTGCATATACGTTGAATTTTTCTGCAGAATAATTTTTCCAGAATAATTGTTTTTAATCTCATATGTAATTATAGCTAATATATAGTTTATTTGCCTGCCTGGACTAGGTCCAAATTAGATGTAATTTCTCATTAAATTATATCTTTTGCTCAAGTCCCCTGGCGACGTCAGCTGAGCTTACTGGACATTTTTAGTCGGCTCTATTTGGGTCAGCCTGTACGGCTCGCTCTTTGTTGGTTGTCGTTGGCACGGACTAATTTCGCTTGCCTTAATCAAATCAAATTTTATTTTAAACAATTCCAATTAAGAGGCTGTGGCCGAGTGCCACCCTTACTAAATGATATATTATACCGTTATTGAATTTGACTCTTTGTGATCAAAGTAGAACTCAAATAGGCCTAGAAAAAGCTTATAGTCTCAAGATAATATAAACATATTTTATTTAAAAAATATCGCGAAAACAAAATTGAAAACCAAGTGCTTATTAAAAGTTAGCGGTTTTCGTTCTCTCTCCTTTGTGCTAGTCTTCGGTGCTAGCCAACATGGCAAAGGCACTCTAAATACATAAAAGAGTTCTTTGTCTCGACAAATTGACTAATGTGAATTAAAATATTTAAACAAAATTTATGCATTTCTTAAATATCCTCTACATTACGATGTAGATATAGTGAGTGGTCCAAATTCTCACATGGGAGCATAAAATCCCAGGGCACTATAGAGAAAATTCCTGGATGAATTGTTACACAGTAAGCCTATAAGTACCTTGACGCCGACACCAAAACCAAATGGGAGGCATTTTCGAAATTACTGGAACAGTGACGTTTGGCAATAGAAAAACCAATACTTTAACCAACTTTCAACTTTCTCCGCCTCCTATGCCGCTCATACTGATGCAGACTTTCCTTGTAAGCCTGGCTCTGCTCCCAATATTCATAACGTCATGTTTAGCGGTGTCGAAATCGACGAGTATGCTTCGTGGAGCCTGACCTAGTAAACTTAAACGTCAATCGATTGGCCAAAAGATTTCTCAGCTATAACGAATTTTGTGAGTTCGATGGAATCTTGTAACGAGCTGATTCTTAGTTTTATGCTCGCTACGTAATCGTGCGGCTAGCTCAGAGAGGTTGTGAGTTCGTTCCACCAAATTAAATTGAGTGACCGCCTGTGACCAAAGGATATCGCCAGAAAGTATTAGGTCGCTGTCTTCTGCTGCGTTGCTCCTGGCTCGCTGCTGCGCTGCTCCTGGCTTGCCGCTGCGACGCTCCTGGCTTACTGCTGCGTCGCTCCTGGCCTGCTACTGCGTTGCTTCGGCTTGCTACTCCGGGTGACTGATATCGGGTCGGCTCCACCAAAACCCTGGATGTTATGCGAACTTCTCTACCGGTGCCGGCAAGGTGTATCGCCTAGCAGGTGAAACGAAGTTTCGCCTTATCGCCTAGCCACCTTTATCGCCTGGCTTCCGGAGTTCAGCCTGGACTTTGTCGGCAAGGTATATCGCCTAGCAGGTAGAACAAAGTTCTCCCTTATCGCCTAGCCACCTTTATCGCCTGACACCGCGCAAGGACTCCCTAAGTTCGATTTGACCACGACGTAGCACCGTTAGATCTCAGCGTTTTAGCCTCAGTCTTGTAGACTTGTCGTCGTTCGGCGTCTCGACTTTGCGATCTTGATCCTTGGGCACTTCGGTTTCAATTTACTTATTCCGCGTTCACGCACTCGCTCTGATTCTCGCACTCGTAATGTCCCGAGCTGCGCTTGCGCCGTCCTTTTATAGGCGCTGTAGGTGCCGTTATTTCCCTTGCCGAGCTCGGGTCCAAGGTCCACTGAAGTACCATTCATTCTTGATGTGTCCTCTTTATCCGGGTCCGAAGTTCGTCAATTCACCGTATGACCTCGTTGCCCTTGCCTGGGGCGGGTCCAAGGTCAATCGAGGTACCGTTAATTAACAGTGTGTCCTCTTTAGGCGGGTCCAAGTCCGCCAATTTACTGTATGCCATTTGAGGGTCCAAGGTCCGAATATTTCCCGGTTGACCTGGATGCCCTTCATTTCTCCGGCTTTCCCGCCTCCTCCGCTGTTACTAGGCCGATCTCCTGCATCAGGATTTGTGGGGAGTTTAAGGCAGGCTTGCACCTTGTGAGGTCAAAAAAATCAAATTATTTTTTTTTTGCAGTTTCGGATAGATACATGTTTCAATTTTACTCTCCTAAAATTTCAAGTCAAAATCTCTTGAATTACGAAAGTTATAAAAATTATTTATACTAAAACCTATGGAAAGTATACGCATCTTGCGAAATATCTAATTTGTTTAAAAAAATTGTTCATAAAAATTGTTTGAACAAATTAATTTTGCAAATTTGATGCCAGATTCGTGATCAGCGACCCCGAAAACTTATGTACCGATGAATATTTTTATTGAGATGTATGAAATTCGACATACATTGTTGCCATTATAGTGAAAATTTTCAAACGCGTTTTTCTCGAAACCATGTTTTCCGAGTTGGCGGAAGTCGTACAAGTCGCAAAAATTAAGCAATCGTCATGAATTTTTTTATACATGTCAGAAGTAGTGTCTGGAACTAGGATCTTTTGAAAATATTAAAAATTGTTTATTTAAAAAAATAATGACTAACGAAAAAATGAGGAAAAAACCGATTTTTTTTCAAAAGCTCATAATTTTTGCTTTTTTTATGTTTTTTTCAATTATCCTAGTTCCAGCGATGCGAAAAAGTGTACAGATGAAGAATGTATTCGTTTTTTGCGTTTCAGATTATTTCTTAAAATTCCAAAAAATCCGCCATGAGGCCGAGTTTTTCGCGGACATGCCGCCATTGTTGGGTACTCCCCCTCCCCCCTTCACTTGGATCGCCCTCAAAAAAATTGTGTAGCTTCAATAAACTGTACCCTACAACTGGCTAAAATTTTATTCCCATACCTACCATACTTTCCAAGAAATAAATTCCAGAAAAAAAATCAGGTTTTGGGCGCCAACAAGGTGCAAGCCTGCCTTAAGATTCCTCACAATCTCCACTTGATTGTCGCAGAAATCGACAATTATTAATTAGAAAATCTAGCGGAATGACACCCTTACTAAATACAAATATAACACGTGTTTTAAATTTATCATAAATTAATAATAATTAATAATTTATTTGTTGTTATCAAAGTGTAACTCTAATAGGATTAGAAAAATATTAACCACTTAGCATTAACCATATCAGAAATTATTTTAGCTGCTGTGAAAAATAATGGATAATCAAAAAGTATTTAAAATTGTTAAACCTAAATTAGTTATAGTTAAAAATTACAATTGCTAATGACTTTTTAATAATTTAACGATTTGAAACATGTTTGATACCGACACATTGACCGAAAAAGTTTTTGAAATTTACTGGCCTCTTAATGTCTCTATAGATAATCGCGATTTGTGGGCGTTAGATTGGGCGTGGCCAAATGTTTTTTTATATTCTACTATTTCCTTCTTTAAATTACCTTATACCTTAAGTTTTTCTTCCTTTTACATACAATTTTTTTTTAAGCATTGTTGGAGGCACTTTACACGGCATCTAAAGGTTTATTAAACAAAATATAGATTCTTTGGGAATACTGAAACAATATGGTTTTATCAGTGAATGTAATACAAACGCGCAAAAATATTTGCCTCCATATTATTTTGATACTCTGAACATAACCGATAGTCAAACCATCATGACGTAATATATACTGTCAAAGATGTGTCCTTTCTTTCAAGTTTTTACATTTATATTATATTTACACTCACCATTTTTATTCGGAAGCTCTTGGGTGACCCGGTAAAGCGTGAAGTGCAAGTCGTTGCGCATAACATCAAAGTCCCAAGTGAGAACACTCTTAGGATCATCGTTTCGGATGAGCAGCTCGTGCGTGAATCCCGGTTTTAGCTCCACGCTCTTGTACAGGTTCTGATGATCGTGCTGGTGGATGGCGGTAAAGCTGTTACCCGGAACTCGTGCCTCGGTAGTGGGTGACAGCACAGCCGCAACATCGTCGTGACCATCCAGCGAATTCGTCTTGTAAAGCATTTTGGGCACCAATCCGCCCTCATGAATCATGGTCTTTTGGAAAGGTTAATACGTTAGAGTACTTTATGGTATGAAAGCCTGTGGCTTGTCATGTGGTCAGATGTATGGCCGCCTCTATGTGACCAGAGCTCAAGGGACATGGACATGGGCGCTGGGGCACAATGAAGAAAAGATTTCTGCAGGAATGTCAAGGCAAAGCTGCGCACAAAGGTTTGACACAGTTCACAAACAAAAAAGAGTCAAACAAAGAATGTGTGAAAAATAAAATCGAGAAAATAAGACAAGGGCGGACGAGACAATTGTCGTTTTGGATGGTGACAAACGAAATCTAGAGCAGAAGCAAATTAAGGAGTGGGATGCTTACACAATCGCATTTGGCTAAATAACAGTGGCTTAAGTATTTCTGACTGACTTGATTCACATGCGAAACGGGCTGGTTTTCTGTCTGAGCAGCCCCGGCGGGGTAGAGTCAAAGCCGGAACCAGAAGGAAGTAGAGGTTGAACCAGATACAGTAATAACAAAATATAGTAAGTACGTATCAACCGATGCAGTATTAATGGATTCTCAAACGAAGTCGCTCTACCGGAAGCTGCCGTTCGCATGCTTACCTTGCATGGTCCCCCTAGGAAGTCGGGCATGATCTCCTCGTCGAGGTATTGGGCTAGACCATCCTTCATTTGCGTGGAGTCGGGACCGTAGAACACAAACTTGGATCGCGTGTGCTCATCTAGAGAATAAAAAATTATAAAAACAAGAAAATCGAGTGGAAGTAAGTTTAGATTACCGATAAAGGCGCTAACAATTGTCCAGGCAATGGGAAACACCCTGGGCGCTCGCACCACCAAGACACGTCCCATGGTCTCCGGATAATTGCGTTCCACAGTCTCGATGATGTATAGCAGTGCCCTGATGCCTGGACGCCATAGGTGACGCATAGAAAGACCATCAAGATCTACAAGCAAGGACCAGTGTAGCAAAGGCTTCTCCAGGCGTTCTGCTGATTCATTAATCTTCTGAACTCCTTCTTCGCAGACGTGAAGAGCCTGGACCCAAATAATACTCCGCTTAAGTAATATTTTCTGTAAACAGTTAAAGCCGCTTCCTTACCAATCGTAGTAGGCCCTCCATTCCTAAAGACTTTAGCAGGCCTTTGACGTCCATATGTCCCAGCCGCAGAATGTAGACAGGCCGACCGTCCTTGTCGTGGTGGTGCCAGCCACCCGGGAAGTGTTCCACCACCACGGCCGGCTTGGAGTATTCCGGCAGCAGTGCGTCTATGTGATGTTCCCGACGCCAGCGGAGCGAGTCGCGCAGCATAGTGAAAGCCTGGTTAACGTGCCAGTCCCTGGCTGCTAAGAAACGCATGATGGTCTGATAACTGGGCAAGCGCTCCAGATCATCAACACCATCCAGCATTTTTCGCAACTCCAGCAGCTTGGACTCCTGCATTGGGGATAGCTTCCCCAGGTTGCGAGCGATAAAGTCGCCGTCGAGTAGGATGTTGTGGTGATCTGGAGCAGAGTCCAAGGACGGGGATCTGAGTACGTCGGCGGGGGTTGTCCAACGTTCCACGTAAGTTGTACCTTCCTCGCGCAGCTGGCTGATAAAAAACTCAATAATCTCCTTGCCCTTAAGTGTTGTCTGAGTATACTGCTTCATGCCCATTTTTTCCATTGAGTGTTCGAAGCCAAAGAAATTCTTAATATCAAGCGTTGCCGACTGGTCAAAGCACGTCCACTCGGAGTTGTCTGGGTGAGAGTAGTAGCGACACCGCTCAAAGATCTCGATGCGTGACGAGAAGCTCTCATTAACCGCCTCGATGCTCAACGTGCGGTTTCCCATGTCAAGGTAGTTGTGCTGAAGAAAGTACACATAGTCAACTCCGATCAGCTTCTTAAAGATGTACGGCGCGTCAACTGCCAACTTGCAGCGACGGCTTGTGTTCCGCCTTGCCCCTTTCTCAAAAGATTCGTCCTTAATGACCTCACAGTCTAGCACGATGGGCATCTGTGGGCATGTGGGAAAGCGGCGCTCGTAAGCCTGCAAAACCGCCAATGAAACCGAATTAATTTCTTTTTTAGATTCCCGATCGTCACCATCTACGCTTTTTTGCCAAAAATAACAAACATGTCAAAATCCTTAAGCAGTTTCTAAGGTCTATTTATGGACAACCTTATTGCAAATTTTTTTAAAGGAGATATTTCGAAATAGTTTTTAAATACATTTGCTTTATCATACCGTTGTCGTCAAAGCTGAGTTTCTTTCTTTAATTACCCTTGCAGAAATCAAAAGTTTGCAGTGACTCCATAAAGTATATATTTTTGGTCAGCATAAAGAGACGAATCGAACTGCCATGTCTGTTTCTTCGCAAACTACACCCTCTTCGGGAAAAAATGGAAATACAATTATATATTCACTGTTTTTAACATACAAGGTGCGTTCCAAAGTGAAAAGGACTTAAAAAAACAGAACAAATGGTTTTTTCGGCAAAATCAATTTATTTTATTCAAAATAGACTCCTATTTTATTCAAAATAATCCAAAGTGAACAGGACTTAAAAAAACAGAACAAATGGTTTTTTCGGCAAAATCAATTTATTTTATTCAAAATAGACTTCTATTTTATTCAAAATAGTCTCCTTCTGCTTCAATACAGCTTTTTGCACGGTCCAAAAGCATGTCAAACGAGTGTTTTAGCTCGTTGGCCGCTGGTATGCCGCTGCAATCATTTTGAATGGCCTCTACGTCTGCATAACGCCTTTCATTGGCAATGCATTTCTCCGAAAAGGAAAAAGTCGCACGGTGCCATATTTCATCTTCACGAATACGGGGCATCAAACGCTTTAAAACTCCAAGGTAGAATACGGCATTAAAGTTTTGGCCGGGTGGAACAAATTGTTGACAATACCGTTGAAATCATAAAAACAAATCAGCATTGTCTTCAATTTTGACTTCTCCATACGTGATTTTTCGGGTTTCGGCTCGTCTGGTGCCTTCCATTCAGCACTCTGGCATTTTGTTTCGGGTTCATATTGAAAACACCACGGTCCCCAGTCACAATATTGTAAAGGTAGTTTTTGTCCTTTTTGACCTCTTTATGATGTCCTTTGAATGTTGGATTCTGAGCAATTTTTGGTCGTCAGTCAATTTCAGCGAAACAAACTGTGCACACACCTTTCGTAAGCCGAAATCCACATGTGGATTTTCTGTGCGCCAAATCCGACAATTTTGCTTATTCGCCATCGCCATTCAATATGAAATGAATGAGCTTCACCAGTCATCGAAATTTGATTCCAAAATTCAGGTTCAGTTTGAGCTACTGTACGACCGAATTGCAAGCGACGTTGATTATCCGTGGGCAAAAGTTGTTGTGTTACTTGCACTTTATACGGAAACAAATGTAAATCGTTCGCAAAGTGGTTCCACTAACATTTAAATGCTGAGCACGGTGTCGATACGACTCTCCTGGGCCTTCGACAACATTAACTCTCACTGTCTCAACCAAATCAGCTGAGCGTCTTGGGCGTTCATGAACTGCATTTACAGTACCAAATTCAGAAAACTTGGACATAAGACGATAAATAGTGGCTTTTTTTTTGAGCGTTTTGGCGAGGATATTTTCGACGATATGCACGTTGAGTTAACACAATTGACTTTATTTTCATTATACATCTGCACTATTTCAGCGCGTTGTTTCGTCGTGTAGCGAACCATGGTTAAAATTCTACTGTTTTGACGTTTCCAAAACATGTCTGATCAAGCTAATCAGTCGATATTTGAGAAAAATATTTAATGTTTAAGTCGGCCCACAAATGATGGCGCACCCTGTATATATACTTTATAGGGTCGGAAATGTCTCCTTCGCTGCGTTGCAAACTTTTGACTGAAATTATAATACCCTCTGCAAGGGTATAAAAAATATATTTTATTAGGTGCTGGAATTAGTTTTAAAGGGTTTTTTTTTAAACTTTAACTTTTTATTAAGACAAAAATGGTGATAAATCGATTATTCAAAGTATTGCCCATCGCTAACCACTACTTTTTCCCATTTTTCTGTCAATTTTCGGATACCAGCTCGGAAGAACAGTTCGTCTTTTGATGCAATCCATGTTTTTGTTTCCTCGTTGGAGGTTAAGTGCTGATCAGCCAAGCCATGTGCCATCGATCGGACAAATAGTAATCTGATGGGGCAATTTTTGGGGAATACGGCGGGTGCGATAGAACATACCGTTTCGACGATTCTATGTACTTTTTTACGGGTTTTGTGACATGGGGACGAGTGTTTTCTGTTGCAAAATGACTGTGTCGAGCCGCTGATCGAATTATAGGCGTTTTTTCTTCAATGCCTGACTCAAACGAATCAACTGTATTCGGTAGAGGGCTCCAGTGATAGTTTCGCTCGGTTTGAGCAGCTCATAATAAATGACGCCTAAATACAAACATGAGCTTGGATCCATGGATATTCAGTCTTGGCGTGGATGACGAAGCGTGGCCGGGGTGGGTATCCATAAGATTTCCTACGCTTGAGGTTATTGTAATGCATCCACTTTTCATCGCCAGTTACGATGCGATGCGATGCAAAAACTCTTTCCTTTTCGACGTGCGAGCAGCTGTTCGCACGTTATAAGCCGCCTCTCTACGTCTCTCGGCTTTAACTCGTATGGCACAAAATTTCCTTGCTTCTGAATCATACCTATGACTTTTAGACGTTTGCCGACTGTTGACAAGTCAATCCCCAATTATAGCGACAATCCTTCGAGCGCTTCACACGGATCTTCGTCGAGTAAAGCCTTCAATTCTTGGTTCTCGAACTTTTTCTGCTGACCAGGACGTTCCTTGTCATCGGTGTCAAAATCACCAATTTTGAAGCGCCGAAACCAGTACTCACATGTTGAAATGGATGGAGTATAATCTCCGTAAGCTCCCTCAAGCAGCAAACGACTCGCAGGAGCAGTTTTCTTCAAATGGAAGAACAATAAAGCTTCCTGCAAATTGCGTTTATTCGGCACGAAAGTCGACATATTGAATAGTAATTTCAAATGTACATTGTTTACATTTGCGCGATAACGCATACTGATAATCCAAGCTATGATATAATACTTAATATTCTTAAGGGGTGGCCGATTTTTGTTAAAAAAATATATTTCAAGCGGTGGCAAAAGTTTTTTGTTAAAAATATTTATTTTGTAGAGGTGGGCAAACGATCTCTTTAAATACAACTTGAAACAAGTAAGGAAGCAAACTTCGGCTTGCCGAAGTTTATATCCCTTGCCGTTATTACAAAACGATTTCGATTTCAGTTATTACATTCCGATTTCTATGCCTACATTACTAAAAAACAATAAAGCTATGTCGATTTTGCGCTGCATTTTGCCATCGTTTCTATGGCAGCTATATGATATTGTTGTCCGATTTTGGCAAAGTCAAAAGCTTAATTTTGATATATTAAATAATTACTATATCTATTACGCTCTCCTGAAAAGTTGCCGCTTTCAAAGTCGGTGTAGACGATCCTGCAAAGTCTACTGGCTAATCGTTTTTAAATTTTTCTTTACTAAATTCCTCAGGTAACACTGTCGAATTTTGTTGTTTTTGGGACAATTTATTATTTTTATAACGATAAATAACAACTTTTGGACGAAAATCGAGTTTTTTGACTTTAAAATCGGAAAAAAATTAAAACTTGACAGCGTTACCTGGGGAAATTTGTCCTTTAAATGACATTTGATTTTTTTTTAATTCAGATGATTCTGTGATTCGAGATGCCGACGACGATTGCCAATACCTCACTAACTTTTCAATATTTTTGTATGCAAATTTTTGCACATATTGTTTAAATGTTGTATTATCACATGGGGTTGTGATTTTTTCTGAGACTATTTGTATTGCCAATAAAAATTAGTATTTTAATATTAATAACGATATCCGTGTCGATTGTCACTTCGATCGTAGGATGATATGGATCTTCAGGTTGATAAATAAGATAAGCTAACTTGCTGCTAGGATAAATACAGGGTTTGTCCGAAAATTAATAGGACTAAGTGAATTAAAAACAAGAAAGGAAAGCTAACTTCGGGCGGAGCCGAAGTTGAAATACCCTTGCAGAATATTCTGCAAATTATATTCTCCAAAATTATTCATATGATGCATTCTTAATACTCATAAAAAATCCCAACTTCCTAACTTTAAAAACACTAAAGTTATGGCATTTCCAATCGTTCAGTTATATGACAGCTATAGAATATAGTCGGCCGATCCTTATGAAATTTGATGTGTCGGATTGATTGGGCAAAAATAAAACCCATAGAAAGTCCCAACTCCCTAACTTAACAAACACCAAAGTTATGGCATTTCCGATCAATCAGTTATATAGCAGCTATAGGATATAGTCGGCCGATCCTTATGAAATTTGGTACGTATTGATTGGCCAAATATAAAACCCATAGAAAGTCCCAACTTCCTAACTTAACAAACAGCAGAGTTATGGCATTTCCGATTAATCAGTTATATGGCAGCTATAGGATATAGTCGGCCGATCCCGGCCGTTCCGACTTATATACTGCGTGCAAAGTTTGAATTCGATATCTTTAAAACTGAGAGACTAGTTCGCGTAGAAACAGACAGACGGACAGACAGACGGACAGACAGACGGACAGACGGACATGGCTATATCAACTCAGGAGGTGATCCTGATCAAGAATATATATACTTTATAGGGTCGGAGATGTCTCCTTCACTGCGTTGCACACTTTTGACCAAAATTATAATACCCTCTGCAAGGGTATAACAAAGAGAATCGCTGTGGTCAAGTGTCTCGACTAAAAGATACACGTTGTACACGCTGTTGCACCTTTCGAAAATTTTACAAACGGGCCATCTGGGCCGCAGGATGAAAACGAGCAGCACCCCGACACACAGTGGGCGATTTGGTCTCGCTAGCAGCATTTAATAATTAACTTCTAAACTAAAATAGATGTTTTCAGTCGGTTTTTTTTCACTGATCAGAGAAAAATCTCGCGTACGTTTCGGAAGTCCTTGTTC